GGTGACGTTTAGCCCAGTTAATGTGAGGATTATGCTTCTCCAACCATTCGAAACCGAGCACCAGCGGGGAACATGCAGAGGGAAAAACAAAAAATGTTATTGTCTCTCGGTGGTTACCTGACAGAAGTAGCTTGAGGGGCTGAGTTTGATGGGTAACTTGATGGAGTCTTCTTCCGTCAATAGCGGATACTCTGAGAGGCTGAGTTAGAGGAATAATTTCAATTTGGAGTTGCTGGACGAGGTTAGAATCGATTAGGTTACATTCACAGCCTGAGTCGATGAATGCAGAGAAAGAGAGGCTCTGGTTAGCACAGAAAAGTGTGGCAGGCAGCAACAGTCGAGGAGATTTCTTAGTGTTTATTTGGCCCGCCAGACTCCTCAGATCCTCTGGCGGGCCCAGGCTTTTGATTTAGCCGGGCAGGCAGCAATGAAGTGTCCACTCTCACCACAGTAGATACATAGCTTGCTTAGCAAACGCCTTTGTCTCTCCTCTGGTGTGAGCCTGGTGTGTCCCACCTGCATGGGTTCGACATCTCTTTCGCCCGAATGAGAGGCTTGAACAGGCAATGGTAGAGACTGGGGCTTAGGCCTCTGTATGGGCAGCTGCTCTGTAGAGGGAGAACAAACAGTCACGTTATGTGAGGCAGAATAAAGTGTACTCTGCTTCTTTGAACTGTTTCTGGCTCGAATTCTATTATCTAATCTGATGGAGAGGCGAATTAAATCTTCGAGGGTAGCAGGTTCGTCGAGGGCTGCGAGTTCATCTTTAATGTGCTCGTTTAATGCCATGAAAAAGGCTCCTTTCAAGGCGCTTTGGTTCCATCCGGAAGCTGCCGCTTTAACCCGGAAGTTAATAGAAAATTCAGCCACCGAAGAGTTTCCCTGTTTAAGATTGAAAAGAGCTCTAGAATCAATAGTTTGGTCAGTTTCTTAGTTGAATACCTGGGTAAATTCAGAAATGAAATCAGAGTAGTAACAATTTAAGCTGTCGTCAGCAGCAAATCTTGCCTGAGCCCATTCCAAGGCTCTTCCTGTTAACTGAGAGAGAATGAAAGTTATCTTCTTGTGATCCGTGGAAAAACAGCCAGGGGAGTTCTGAAAAATCAACCGACATTGAAATAAAAATCCTTTGCAATCTTTCATGTTGCCAGAAAATCTTTCTGGGAGACTAGGACGGAACTCTGATGACGTCACTGCTGGTGACCTCGGAGGAGGAACTGGACCCGGAAATGGTTGTGGTACAGCATTAGCGCTGTTCAGATAATTAGCACAACTCTGTAGCATTTGGTTATGAGAGTCAACTAGACGGTATAACTCACGGAGCGTTTGGGTTTGTCCCTGAATTTGGGCATCCTGCTCCTCCAGTCGACGGGTGAGGTGATCTGCTGGGCCTTGAGTTTGGCCGCAGTGTTCTGTCATGATGGGTTCACTGAAAGCGACCCAAGAATGCAGAACACCACTGACGGACACAAGGATGAAGGTTTAACAGTTTTATTTTGCACAAACACACTGAATATTCTGGTTCAGGTTCGGGGCCTGGATTCTGGTTCACCGGAGTCTGCGTGAGAGACAGTTCAGTTAGCGTTGCCAACAGAGGTCTGATTTCCAGAAGTCTACTGATTGTACCTTGAGGGTTCTTGAGGTTAGCTTTGGGAGAGTCACTGTTGGTTCTGGAGAAGAGTTCATCAGCAGAGTCCGTAGCTGCTTCAGCGTCTCACGTCTACTTAGAACAGACCTTGGCTTAGGGTTACCCAGCTCAAGTCCAGAGCTGTTTGGAGGTTCTCTGTGAATCTTCGGGTTTGGCTCAGAGGGTCGGCTCGGCAGGTTAGCTCTTCCAGAGCTTTCACAGAGGAGGCACAGGTTTCCAACTGGAACAACACTGCGGCGTTGAGGCAAGGTCTGAAGACAGCTTAAGTAGTAGATCCTCTGATGATCTAGACAAGCTGCAGCTGTGCAGGAGGCTCCCTCAGAGGATCCACGGCGGACTCTGCTGGAGAAAGGTGGAATTTCTCCAGCTCCCAACAAAGTCAGGGGAGCTGGCCTCAGCTTGAGCTGCGGTTTTCCGCTTGGTCCTAGCGCTCAATAATTGTCTGCATACTTTAGCATAACCTTGTTTTTTTGGGACAGTAAAAAGTGCAGGGGACCAAAAAGGACTTTTGAAAAAGCCCTCCCCCCTGCCCAAATTACATCCGTGAACATCAGGGATACTTAAATGATGCAATAAGAATTAGCGTATGTTCTGTAGGGAAAGTATTGTTTTATCCTATGGTGATAATGTACTGTACAGATTGGGTTTTTTTGGGTCATAAACCACTGTATTAATTTTGGACAATGGGGACCAATATCCATCCAAATATCAACTGTGATCATTGGTATAAGACGATGCAGTTTTGCTCTACTGTGAGTAGCATATCCCCCAACCACACACACATCCACCCATCCCATCCCCTCTCCAAGACACTCCCACAAGATATGCAATCCTGCCCTCCAGAGTGCTCTTAGGACAAAGTAACTGCTTTATGATTTTGTCATCCTCTTTCAGGGCTGATCTTGGGCTTCTTCAATAAAGAAGCAGCATCATGGAAGAACACAAGCCAAGGATCTCATTCTGCAGTCTGATCAAAGGCTAAGTGGACTTGGTGGCTAACTTCAGCACCACATTTATTAAAAAAATTAGTTCAACAACATTTCTCTCTGAGTTTCAGGACCTTTCAGATGCCTGAAGAGACCAGGCGTTTCAAACATCTGGAAGAAAGGGGAGCTCTGCTGCTATGGGCCTGCCATGCTAAACTGCTAAATACTGGAGACAACTCTTTCAAAACAAATCTGGCAAATTTACAACAAGAGTTTCCGGCAAAAGAAATGCTGTTTTTTATTTTTTTTTTAATGATTTTTAAACATTTCATGTGTTTACTGTTGTGACAGACAAGCTGAGAACTTGCGCAGCACGGTACACAAGCTTATAAGCTTTGAACTGTTTATAAATTTAAGAAAAACTCTCTTTCACTACGGTTTTAAAGACTAAATTAATGTTAACTTGTGTCTCCTAATACATGTTGTGTTTCCACATATCCTCAGCACAATTTGATTACCAAAATATGAGCAAAGTGTCCTTCATGATGAATCCCCTCATGTCTGCTAACCACAAGCTCAATCAAAGAAGGTTAAGAATCAATTAATTAAAGGTTATTGGGTTCTAATTAAGCAATTCATTTCATAAAACATGCTTTTGCCAAATACTATTAACATCCTTGATTTGCATTGTGAATCGGTGAAAACTTTCCAATTGCTCTAAAATAGTTAAAAGCTACATTTAAAATTCTTAGATTAACTTAATTCTCAAACATAAAATCCATGCCTTAATGTGATCATGCCTTAATGTGAGATCATTTTATTGATTGTGGTTTTCAACTATGCGTTTTTCCTTCTTCTTTTACATAGCTTATAGTTTAGTTGAGTTTCAATAGTATAGTCAAGGTTTTCCTCATCCTGCTTCTAGTTCATTTACAAATAAAATCTCTCAAAATCAATTATATAAAAACATTTTGAATGTTTTTTCCCATTTCATGGTAGGGCTTTGTTAATTTCCAAAATTCCATCTTCCCCTGTTTTTCATATATGTATAAAGACAAAGGCTAATTTGCAGGCCTCTACTGGTTACGTTTTCTGCAGAAAGCTATAATGAAAAAAACAACAACTCATAAAACAAAGTATGCAGGTAAGTGGTTTTTTTTTCAAAGCTTATATGGCTTTCTTGCATTCTCATGACTTATCCAAGAGTCTCTAGGTGGAAAGGTGCTCCATGTTCTCTAAATGTAGATATATATATATAATGTGTGAGACTTTAACAATTCATGTCAGCATTGTTAATTATTCAACAGAGGCCCTCCGGACAGGTCCGGTCAAATCGGAACTGTCAGTTTGCATTAGCTGGCCAAAAGCTGAGGCAGAAGATTCTGATCTCAGAAAACAGTTTTACCGGTACACTGATGTCTCCACAAACTTGGATAAAAATGTAACCTTTGATATGTTAAATCCACATGAGTACTCAATAAAAATGTTCCATCCATTTTCCATCACGCTTTATCTCAGCTGGGATAACGAGGGGTGCTGGTGCCTATCACAAGCTGCCAACACAGAGACAAACAGGAAAAACAAGCATTCACGCACACACTCACACCCAAGGAGAATTTAGAGAAGCCAATTAACCGTCATGTTAACAGTCATGTTTTTGGACTGTGGGAGGAAGCCGGAGTACCCGGAGAGAACCCACACATGGTCAGGGGGAACATGCAAACTCCATGCAGAAAGACCCTGGGCCAGGAATCGAACCTCGAACGTTCTTGCTATAAGGCAGCAGTGCAATGGAAATATTTTGTTAATCTAATTTTATTTTAATATAAAACATAGATGTAGAAATATTTTAAAAGGAAAATGAGCCCTCGACCCAGAGGCATACATTGATGAAGGAAGTGTAGGAAGTTATTTTGGGGTCTTCCATGTTTTATTTTTTAATTGGCCCTACCTAGAGCATAATTTGCCCGGTTAGTTAGTTGGTATGCTGGACAGGCGGACAGAGGGATGGATAAACAACTTTATTGATGGATGGAGTTTAAAACGTAAAGTTTATAACCAGTTGGAATGCTAATGTTGTACATCTATAATCAGCTAAATTTGCAAATTTGATCAACACATAAGTCTCCACATTATAAGTCTTTCTTTACATGATTAAGCTTGCTGTTATAGGTTCGTCACACAATGTTTTCTTTAAATATATTTTAGTTCTGATCATGTTTTGTATGTGAGAGTGTCTAGTTTCACCTCATAAACCTAAAATTTGGATCTGTTCAACAAAGATAATTACAGCTTATTTCAGTGCAGTTATATAATATCTCAGGAACAGACTCACATGTCAAATCAACAGTCCATCAGTGATATCCATCCAATCTGACTTAGCATTGCTCAAAATAGTTTGCAAACATTTACACTCTGTTGCTTACAGCTCTCAATCTCCAAGGTGCAGTTCTGCTCATCCAGTGGGTATCTGCGCAGGTCCATCATGCAGGCGGCTGTGGTGGTGATCCTTGGTGGAAAAACAAAGATAATATGGTCACATATCATCCTGAAATCTCAGGGGGGCAGAAATGTACAACTCACAGTACAGACCCTCTAAAACCTTTATCATGCAAAAGCTTTTAAACTTTGACTGGAGAGAAACTATATGTCTTGTTCCCATAATTGCCTTTGCTCTGCTGAGTTGACACCTGCAGCTTCTCTCCCTTTGAAAAGCTTTGCGTTTTAATCTTAATTATCGCAGTGGGGAATTAGGAGTTAACAATCAAACTGGAGGAAATCCTCATTGAAATTATACAGCGGATACAAACAACCAACTGCTCTCCAAACTGACTTAGCCAAACCTTACTTGCAGCCTCATAAATAGTGGCTATGAAAGAGGAAAGGTCACCCTAGATACCCATTGTAGCATGTAGGTATATTACAATTAATGTGATGTAATGGGAAGATAAATTACTTGCATTTTTCTAGTTGACCTGCAATTAGAGTCATGCAGATAGAAAACTTGGCAGTGCAGGGAATACATGGGGCAAACAAACGATCCCTGCACGCTTCAGGTACTTTAATTAGGCCATACATAAAAGTGCAATGTATTTAGGGAAGCCTATTATAATGTATTTATTGTCAAGTTAATTGCATTCAAGTCAAAATAAATTATTCTCTTTTTTACGCTAATTTACTAATGTGAACAATTTGCGATGCTCAAAGGTAAAATTTGCAGTAAAGTAGGAATTATACTGTTAGAAAACAATAATAACTTTATGTTTAGGAACTATTGATCGAATACTTTTTTAGGTGTTACTGAAGATTAAGAAATGTCTGAACAAACTGATCCTGTGAGAGCCTGTGCTGTGTGGCCCTTCATCATTTACCCATGTAAAGCCTGGTTTGTTTAATGTTTGTTATGGAACGAATTATTCCAAAGTCCTCCCATGCCACACACAATATATTCTTCCCCTGTTAAGCTCTGAGTCTGCTTCAGGGTTTTCTGTCAAATTGTTGTGCCTAGAAACTTTAAATGAGGAGGCAACCAGGAGGGTTTCAAAGGAGACAAACACCCTCAATTAAGACCCTTTGATGTAACATCTCAACTTATTTCTGAGGTACAGCTGACCACCGTACAGAGGAACCAAATTTCAGCTGTGATCACTGGGTAATAAGATATAAACTCTATCAATTGGGGTAGTAAAAAAATACATTTCCATCAACATGTAAAATTAATCTTTTTCTGGTTGAGAACCTTTGCCTAACTTGGAGGAGCTGACTCATCCTTGCTACTTCACACCAAATACTTCACACTGTGAACATCCCCAATGAACTCTGAGGATGAAGACTTCAAAAAAAAAAAACACAGATGGATCCACAGCATCTACAAAAAAAGACCAAACTAAGGATCATTCTTCTATTTCTACTACATCCTGTATATAAAGAACACAAAATGATAATAAAACAACTCTAGATTAATCCAACATGCATTTTGACAAGGGGTGAGATTGGCATGGGTGTTGCGATACGATACGTGTCACGACACTTGGTTCAATATACGATATTATCACGATATTGCAATATCACTATATTTTGTGATATTTTTCCGAGTTATCAAATAAAATTTATTTATTTATTTGAAAGGGACAACATGTATTAATTAATACTTGAATTTAGCTAGTTGGCTAGTTACAAGGAAAAACATGGTGTGTGTAACAAGAAATACAGAGCACAGATGAAACATACATGTAACAATGAAAAAAAGACATACAAAACTCATTAAAACACTAGACTGCTTCAGAAGAAATACAATGCAATACCCACAGATGTGATAACATACGGTGAACAGGACTGCATACTTGAGGTAGGCTAATGTTTTATTATTTCGATACTGAGGTAGATAATGCTAAAGTGCTTTGCTACTAAGGTGCATGGTATTAAATGATGTAGATACTGCTAAGTGCGTTTTACCAAATTCTACACTTTAAAGCATCTAACGTACTTACTAGTGATTACAAATGTGGTTACCAAGTAGTGATTGTTTAAATTGTTTCCTAAATGAAATGAAGGTGGCACTGTCCTTGACTGCTATGGGCAATGCATCCCAACATATGCACACGGCGAAAACAATCTAGAAATAAGTACAGTTTGTCTTAAATTTGTAGAAGCAGTTTTATTGTCTTATATATATCCTTAAACGTGGCCCTATACTTACTTAGGAACAAAACAGTACATGCTGAAGGTCAAGTATGAGACTTAGCAATAATAAAGTATCTAATGCCTTATTCGTATGGAATTAGATGATGTATGAGGAGGTTTGGCAAAACAGAGAACATCTGTATAAACATTCTTTGAGGGTCGGAGTGACTTTGACGCAGACCAGCCCATGTGAATTCCAGTAAGCTTTCGACATGATATTCCTGTGCATGTGCAGTTACGTAATGCGATGTGAAAACTATAAATGCCGCCTAGAATGGACTGAAGGTTGGGGGATAACTGAATTTTGACTAAGCATTACTGGATGTATGAAGTGTTTAAGACAACTATATGAATTTGGTTTCGTAATTAAATGTGTCCCCCCTCCAGATGATAAAATGGTGTGAATCGTGGCCTTCTTTCTGTCCAAAGAGAGAATAAGAGACATAAGAGAATTCTACCAATGAGCTCCCATAAATTAAGTGAATTTGTCCTTAATTTGAGTAGGTAAATAAGATGATCTGTCAATGTAATAAGATTGTTTACTTTTAAAATAAGATAATTAGATATTATGCTCTTGAAATAAGACACAGCAATTATTTTTTTTACTTATTTTAAGTGTAAATTGTCTGTTCCACTGGCAAAGTGCCTCACTTCCTTCCTCAAATAAAGAAAAAAAGCACTTATTTTAAGAAAAAAATTGTTATTTAGATTGAAGTTTTTACAGTGCATCCCTTGACTGAGAGAGAATTATGTGCAAAAGTGCATTTCCTGAACTGGATCTCACAATCCCTTCTCGTTATGCTTTTCGTCCAAGTGACGCAAATTCTATTTTATAAATGTCTCTAAGGGTGGCAGGGCAGAGCCTTTTAATGCCCTAAACACTAGATGTATAGATTAAAAAAGCAAATGCTGTTTATGTTCATCAGAAGATATTTATAGTTTAGTTATTCTGGTGTCCATGCTGTTTGGGGTTGGAGTGAGTCCACGTTTTCAATTGTGACGGCCTCAACTACAGATATGGTGCTGCAGAGGTAGTCCATTTTTAATCATTGTTTTAAGTAAAAATGCAAAAGAAAAAAAATATTATTAAGAACTGAAAGATCAATATTATATCAGACAGTTTTAGTCAAGCTTGGCTAAGCCTGATCACAACATATTACCTATGATGCACCTCTGGGGACAATTATGAGCATTTTACACATGTGAACTACATAACCAAACTCCAAAGACTCCAAAAGAGCTCTGGAGATCTGATTGAATGAGGGACAGTTTCTCTTTAAAAAGTGTTGAGTAAACATTCCCAAGGATGGTCAAAATGTGATGCTCTCACACCTGTGACAAACTCGCCAAGATGCTGTTGTTTACTCCTCATCTTACTATAAGATAATAGAACCTCTTCTGACCTTAGTTATGCCCAAGCAACTGTCTGGTTCTAAAGGGATTCCAGATTACGATAAAGAGCTGCTTTTTCTTACACGTCAGCGAATGGAAATTCTCCATTTCAGATGTTTCACTAGCTTTATGATTTATCTAAAACCTCCACGTGTTTTCACAGTGTGCAAGAAAAAGATGGACCTTGCAGAAGAACAGAGGATGAATATTCATGCCTTTATGGGCTTTTAGCGTCCATGACAGTGTAAGAGCTGGGAAAACCTGAAGACAGCTGAACTATTACTGTCAGTGTAAGAAGGTATTAGATGATTTTCTCATTTTTACAAGTCACACTGGCATCCTTTGAAATTTTATTTTAGCTTCCTTTTTGAAAAGATCTTCTCATAACAAAAAGTCTAAAGAAACTGTTATAAAACTCCAAATGTTTCAGGTAAATACATTTCAGTCTGGCTGAAAAAAGTAAAAGTCTAAAAATAGAAACTTGCATTCAATTTTCAGGGGGATTTAGGTGGGATTTATTTATTTATTTTTTATCATTCAGAGGAGAGAGGCCTAAAAGGAGCCAAGGTCCTAAAGCACTTTAAAGAATTCAGTGTTTTTAACAAGATCTGCTTCCAACGGCATTTCCATCTGATATATGCTTTTAGGTATAAGTGTTATAAGCAAAGCAGGTCAGAGGAATAGGATTGTCAAAATAATCAACATTAAAAAAATAGCTTATCAGTTGTTTAGTACATGACAATCATTTCTATGATACATTTATAGATTACAACCTGACCCATTTCATCTTCCAAAATTTTCACATGACATAACCAAAACTCTAGGGGCCGACAGGGGCTGTGAAGGTAATTTGCTCATGTGGAAATTGTAGAAAGGGATGCTGTTAAGTTCTGATCCTACCAGTACTAAACAGAGTAGCTCTACAAACTTCATAATGCATCCTAAAGAAAATGATTAACGGGAATTAAAAATGGTCAGTAACGTTCTTGTATCTGCAACACGAACGGAGCAAAGATGTTGGACGGCATAAGCTAACACTATACAGTTTGATATAAGCACGTTTTATGTATCAGAATTCCCCCATCATCATGTGTTTAAAAGCTCATCTTAGAAACTAACAATAACAATATTACATGAAGTAAAACATGTCCATACAGCCAGAAGCTGCATGCGTGGGCCGGGTCGACGAGGCTTCCCACCTCCACCACCACCCAGTCCTCTCTGCACCCGACCCCTGGAGTTCCCTCGGCAGGTGGTGGGTCTACAGGAGGGTGGGCTCACATCATCCATTTCGGGGTGGGCCCGGTCGGGCCCCGTAGGGAAAGGCCACCCACATGCGAGCCCCAACCCCAGGTCTGGCTCCAGGCTGGGGCCCTGGCTGTTCCATGCCGGGCGATGTCATGGTCCTTGATTTTATTCTCTCCATAAGGGTTT